AATGTGTTAGGGGAGTCCTTCATCTCGATAAGGCGGAGTATTCATATTAATATTGACTTTCAGCAATTGAAAAAAGATATTCCACTCCACTCAATCAGGAGGGACATTAAGGATCTTGTTAACACATGTTACCATGATATCAAAAAGCCAGTGGGTGAATGCATGGTACATGTATATCTCTCTGTGGTATTCAAAGAGTTAAAGAGAATAAGGGTGTGAAGCAATTCATGCCCTGTAGATACATGTTCACTGGATCACTGGGTAGAGAGAAGAAAATCTCACCATTTGATGGGGATTTGATAGGCCTGAGTCATCTCTCTCAGTCATGTATTCATAAACATTGGTTTGAGTACCTGTTTTTCTCTTATCCTTGCTCTGTCATACTGTCTCTGTCTCTGTCTCTTTCTCTTTCTCTATCTCTCTTTTTTTTCCTTCTATTTTTTCCTGTATTTTTCATCTCTCTGTTATTTCTCACTGTCTCTCCCACCTCTTTGTCTCTCTCTCTCTCTCTCTCTCTCTCTCTCTTTTTTCTCTCTCTGTCTCTCTTTTTCTCTCTGTCTTTCTGTCTCTCTTTCAGTCTTTCTTTTGCTCTCTCTCCCTCTCTCCCCACCTCTCTCTCTCCCATCTCTTTCTCTCTCTCTCCCACTCTCTCTCTCCCCCACTCTCTCTCCCCCTCTCTCTCCCTCTCTCTTCGCCTCTCTCTTGCTCTCTTGATCACATCAATTTTTAATTTAGAGTTTTAAAGCATAATTTTTGTTATCCACTAGATTTGTAATAACCTTCAATTAACCTGTTTGAATACCAGGAAAAGTAACTTTCAATCGTCCTTTTCTTCCAGGAAATGATGTAAATTAGATCTGTGAAATACAGATTAAGGAGATTGCAGGGAGTCTCGGTAATGTCTGACAATTAAAAATGCTACAGCTCATTACCACGTACATGCATAAGACCATTATTGCCTGTTTAGAGCCAGGAGGGCATTAGCTCAGATACTTAAAGGGATTGCGGTATCTTTGTCTCAGATTCTAAACAAAATCCTGGATTTAAGCTCATGCTGCAGTCATAATAATAAACCTTTAGGTCAGTCAGGAATCCTATGGCTATGGCTATCCTATCCTATCCTATGGCTTATCTGATTATCAAAATATTTATGATTGGAATTTGAAATTTCAAAAACCGTTTTCCCAACGGTTTTTATAACACTACATTCTATTGGGGAAAATGAGAATGATAAAACCAGTCACTCTAAGATTTTTTTACTTTTTTGAGGCACTTCATGATCATTTTGAAGCGCAATTTTTTTTAGGGCTTTAATTTGACACCATATCACAGACACTGATAACACGTAGGGCCATACATCTCAGATTTGTAAAACTGGAAACTTAATTGTTAAACAATGCCTTTAAACATGCGGAGTTTAGGCCCTTCTTGCTCTGAATAAACCATATTGTCTTAAAGGTAAAGACCAGTAATGGTCATGCGATTGCATTGTGAAAGAAACGTTGTGGAATCGATCAGAAAAGGTCGATCATCTAGCATCTAGCATCTGCAAGGTTCTGGAATCATCAAAATGATAAGAAATTTGGCTCATTCTTCGTAAAGTTACAAGCACTATACACAGAAAGATGTATATGGGACTACCCTATCTCTCTCACCAGACCATGAGAGAAATAAATTTACCAAATATATGAATTAGTAGGCGGTTTCCCGGCAAATTTTTATCATCATGTATTAGTCAAAACATATTCTTTCACATGATTGGTAATGAGAGCTTCCATTTCATTTTTTGAAATTGGGGCGTTGCCAATACTGGTCTTTACCTTTAACACCCATCAGCAAACTTATCCCGCTGTCCCTCTCGATCCCCCTGAGTGACGAAACGATCAGACTATAAAGATGACATTAAAGCGTCACTTTTAATCTGCTCTTTCTTGTAAATGACTTGCACGTACATGAGACGACATAGGAGCGATTCTCTACTACACGTGTAAGCAAGCAATGGAGAGAAGCGGCTTTGAATGATTGCTCTTCAGAGAAAACTTCCTTGATTTGATCAAATTACTTTCCACACTTAGTCATCCCACAAAAGACACTCTCTAAAATACTTACTGCTAGAACATATCAGTGTAGACAAACTTCTGTGCCTTAAAGGTAATACAAAGTTGGGGTATTGGGTCATGAATTTGGTTCAAATGAACATATTGGAAGCATATGCGATCCTACAATATTCAGTGATCGTTGTCGCGGTTGAAATCTAGTTTAAAGTTATGAAATTGTAAATGATAAACTCTTTATGTTGTATAGCTCACTCTCAAGGCCAAGATATTACTTAAGCTATAAAACAATGGTTCTTGACTAAGATCGACCGATTTCCTATTCCCGTTTTGAAATTGTATATCAAAACTACATATTCTGAGAATTTCATGGTCGCAGCTGCCATTGTACGGCCGTATGTGCTATTTGAAATTTGTCAAAATTTACTGGGAGCACCAGTAAATTTTTATATTCAATTTTTCTCAAAAGCAAAAGTGTTTTAGGGGCTAAATTTTCTAGTGCTTATAAAACATCCACAGGGGCATCCAAATATATCAAAATTGTAAAGAATCACTATCCACCCAATTTTCAAAATTTCCAAAAACTTTGTATCACCTTTAATATTTTGGTATGTAAATGAATTATGGGTATTTATAATATTTCCTGAAAATAATAATTTAGTATATAGTGTAGAAGTTATATATTGTATTTTCACAAAGTCTTTGAAATAAGTTAGGGTATTGGTTGAATATAAGTGAATATATTACATTCTTCTTTTGGTTTGAGCGATTGTGTTCTTTCTTCTATTTATGAAGCATTATATTCAAGCATGTCTTAAAACTTATCAAAGAATACTAGAAAAGTCTTTTATAAACGATTAATCTTCATCATTCAGATCACCGTATTCTCATCAATTTACTTGTCAAGGTAGTACAACAGTTTTTGTTTAAGAATGGCAATCATCAATCATTACATCACTTTCCTTTTTGCTCTGCTCTTTCTCCCTCTCCTCCTTCATTTCTTCTTTCCCTTCTTCTTGTTCTTTTTTTATAATTCTTTTTCTTCACTTTTTTTCTTCTTCTTCCTTTTCTTCTTCTCCTTCTATTTCTTCTTCTTCTCTTCTTTCTTCTTCTTCTTCTTCTTCTTCTTCTTCTTCTTCTTCTTCCTTTTCTTCTTCTCCTTCTAATTCTTCTTCTTCTCCTTTATTTTCCTCCCTTTTCTACTTCTTCCTTTTCTTCTTCTCCTTCTACTTCTTCTTCTCTTCTTTCTTCTTCTTCTCTTCTTTCTTCTTCTTCTTCCTTTTCTTTTTCTCCTTCTAATTCTTCTTCTTCTCCCTTTTCCCCCTCCCTTTTCTTCTTCTTCCTATTCTTTAACCTCTCCTTCCTATTTCTCCTTTTTCTTGTTAACATTCTTCCTCTTCCTCTTATTCTTCTCTTCCTGAAAAAGAAGGTAGATATTAAAAATGACAACAAATGTTGAGTTTCTCGACTCATACCATGAGTCATTTCATGCTTCTATCTTTCATCTTCTAATACGATGTGATAATCAGATCTCTAGGACTGTCATCTCATCCTTCTTTCTTCACCTCTTCAATCCCACGTCTCCATGGTAGTACTTAACCTCTTGCTCAAGAAACTCTGGTTACGGATTCGTTCAAACAATTTCATGAAGCTAGAATCAGGAACTTGAAACACCATTCAAATCGCTGATGTGAAATGCGCTTTCTTAGTATCCCATTCAGGGATTGCTTTATTAGTTTCATAATGTTGTGTCTAATGTGGCTTGTAAAATTGTCCACATAGGATCTTGGTTGCATTCACGAAATAGCCTGATTTTGTATAAACTTTCTTAGGAATGCATATTTTGGGGAGTTTGAAATCAGCCATTTTGAAAATGAGTAAATTTATTGTTGGGTAAAAGTCATGAAAACAACCATGTTCTAAACTGAAAATCTTTCAAAAGCCTGATTCGTGGCTGAATGAAATCTTATGAACACAGCATAAATGGTGGTTTGAGATCGTATCGTAGTATCCACCTTACCAAAATGTTGTGCCAGCATTGTATTAGTGCTTGCCGAGGGTGACGCTCTTGCTTCTAAGTTTCCAACGGAATGTTTTAAGATGCCTCTTAACCCCTGAAAGCTTTAGCAATATCTGTTTTCCTTGGTCCTGATGTTATCATGGAGTGGCGGGAGTGAATGCCTGAGAGGATTCATGTTACCGCTCCATGCAGGTGACACAACCTCTTAAGGTGGGCTGGAGAAGAAAATGCTAACTAGATTCTGACATCAATGATGTACCAGAGGAGATAATGGACTTAGACAATGGTCATTTCTGGTGACATTTTTTTAAAAGGGAATATGTGAAAGAGAGATGAAGAGAGGGAGGGGGAAGAGAGGGAGAGAGAGAGAGAGAGAGGGAGAGGGAGAGAGAGAGGGAGAGGGAGAGAGAAAGAAGAAGAGAAGAGGGCAATGGTGAGACTAAAGAAGAGTGAGATGTAAAGAAAAACATATGAAAAACTAGAGATTGGAGATTCTAGTAAAATAGTGTCGTGACCAAGACAAGGAGAAAGAAGGATGAGAATTGATATTTGGAATGTGAGAAAGAATTAAGTATTAAGTATATAACATTTCACAGTATATTTGATCTTGTTTTAAGGTAGTTGTAAAGAAATAACAGACTTTATTTTTCATTGCTATTGTCTTATCCATTCAAAGGGCCTTTTATAAAAATGGGGAAAAGTTTTTTAGGATGCTAAAAGCATTAAGTTTGTAGATCTTAATGTTGATGAAGATTTGAAGTGTTTTCTCGCGATCTACTTAGAAGCAAATGCCATTACTTGCTATAACCTTTAATACTCTAGCTGACTATCCATCAACTGGAGTTTGCAAACATATGATAAATTAACATTATGATTGGATTGGCAGATTGATAGTGATGTTTTGATTTCTTCTTCCTCCTCCTCAGCTTTAACACCATCGACCCTGTCCAGTGCTACTGGCTGCCAGAATCATATTACCACGAAGCAGAGGACTTCTATCTCTCTAAGCAAGACATTACCAAGGCAACGGATAATGGCATGTATCCCTCTTCATCGGAATCCTCCCAGTACTCCTTCAGTGATGGAGGAGGAGGGAAGGACAAGAAGCAAAAGAAGAAGAGGAAGAAGGAAAGAAGAGGCGATTCAGATATGTCCTCGTCAAGCAGTCTTCAATCAAAAGGTTTTGGATTCCTGGATTGAGAGCAACCACTAATGGATGCATGTTAAAGATTTCAACACGTTTTTGTAGTTCAATGTTGTTCTAACAATTTCAGCAATAATTTCTAACAACATTCCATTTTTAGGGAATTTTGTTAAGGTCAAGTAAGAGAAACAGAAAAAGTGGACACTATAGGCAGGTGGCCTTTATAGAGTATAGATAGGTGGCCACTTAGTCAGGTTTGACTGTACTTTAGAATTCAATTATGTAAAACCTTGCCTGAAACAAAACAAGACAATATAAGGTGAAAATAAATATTAAAAATAATGTAAAGTCAGTAGAAAATACAATGAGGACATACTTTGGTTGGGATCAATAGATTCAGATTAATAGTATTTTTGATATTTGTGCACATGGAATTAGCAATAAGAGCTTTCAAAATTGATATTTTTCATAAAATGATCAAAACAATTCAATCTGATTCATTCCATCAAGAAATGTGCGTTGTAAATATATCCTAAAGTGATTCAATCACCCAAATGTCAAGCAAACTTTGAGGGTATGAATAATTGCCCTGTGTCTATTTCCCTAGACAAGGTATTTCACCTATAGTTGTCTGACCTTACCCAGGGTTACATGGCAGGGTTTATTAATTGAAATGTGCAAAATTACAACAACTAAAGTACGGACTAAAGCCAAGGTGATAGTTTCAGAAAGTTGCATATTTAATTTTTAATTGAAATATGCTTAACAAAGATTATTTTTAACATCATTACTCTGTGGCAACTGGTTGTAATAATTCATGGTGTCTAGAAATATATCCTTCTTTTTTACTAGGAACTGCAAACCAATTCTTACCCATTTCTATATACATATGACACAAAACAAAAAAATTATATAAATGAACATATTTGTATATACATGTATATTCATAATTCAAATATGGCTAGTGTTGTGATGTTGCTGTCAGCTTTTCATGATGTTTCTTATACATACAGCTTAAAAAGAGTACAACGTTTACAAATTGATTTATTTTTGTGGAGTGTTCAGTTTGAAAACATATTTGTGTACGTACATAGATTTTATGAAAAGATGGGAAATGGAAGTAAATAGATGTACATTTGACATACCATAATGCTTTCACTTACAATATTGAATACTATTTTGCTCTTCCTTTATACCGTTGATAATATTAACTTTGCTTATATTTGTCTAGTGTGTGATCTCTTTCCTTGATAAAGATGTTTGCTAGTAAGTTTCATAATAATGTTATACTATTTTCATTACTGAGTGTAAGATATGTAAAATACATGATCGAGATATATGAGCAGAAAGAAAAGAAATAATGGCATTTACTATCTGTCTTTCATAGCATAAAGGTAGAAAGCGTTTACAAGTGACGTATGGTTTTACCCAGCATTCGATATCCCTGGGATATTATGCCGGAGGCTGTTGGAGTAAAATGATCTATTCCGTCCAGATAATTATCCAGGGAAATTCTTTGTTTTCCTGAGACGTGCAATTTAACTGTTGAATGACGTTCAGATATGATGCCTTGGTTTACTATGTGGTCCTTTGAATAGATCACATTACAGGTGGTATTTGTGGGGAGAGGAACAGAGTAGATGCCTTTTCACCCTTGGAATACATTAACATAAATTGCAATTTTTTTTTTTTCTCAGCTCAGAATATCTCCTAAAAGAACTTTTTTTTCGGGGGAGAGGGGGGGGGGGGGGGTAAATAGTCAATTGTTGAATTAAAGAAACATTCCTATCACTAGTTAATAATGAAAAGCAATTTATTAATACTCTTTTATTCTGTTAATAGTGATGGACGTTTATAAAAATTATTAGCTTAACATTTTCATTTGAATATTTCTAAATCATTATAATGTTATCCGCATTTAGTCTTTCTACAAACGTTTCTAAAAATCTGCAAAAAACAGGTAAATAATAATAAATTTATAATTCACTTAGGATACATGAGGGTTATACTAAATCCCAAAATGATTAAGAATAGATTATTTCTCTGGTTGCAGTCATTCTTTTTTGTTTTATTCTGTAATTTGTTTATGCAATAAAGCCTTCTTTGAACATAGATGTAATATTTTTTCTGTATAAATAAAATGATCATGCAAGTATGAAAACACATTCATCTATGTGCATTTTGTGTAACATCATAACATGAATAATGCACACACAAAAACCCACCTTAAGTTGGTTAGCTTTTTTGTATGTTTTACTGGAAGAAATTATACCTCTCTCTTACCTTCCCTCTCTTCTTCTCTCTCTCTCTCTCTCTCTCTCTCTCTCTCTCTCTCCCTGTCTTTCTCTCTTATCTTTTTTTCTCTCACACATTATCCTCAGCTCTATTTCTCCTCATCTCCCCTCTCTGCCTGTAATGAGTGATACATGATGGATCCTGCACAGGGAAATGCAAGGTGACGGTCACTTTGTTTTTCGACTCAATTTGGCAATAGATTTGAATAATTGCTTGCTTCACGTCTGTTGACATTTCTCAGACTGATTACATCAGTGTGATGTGATGCGAGAGCTAGCCCATGCAGGAAATGGTGATTCCTAATGGTACACATGGTAATTAGTAGCGTGTATAGATGCAAGGTTCCCCGGGGAATGGAGATGGTCGTGTGTTTCATCTACGGCTCCTAGCTCCATCAGAAATAAAACATTACGATGGATACCACTCAACATCCCCATCAATCACTCTCGCAAATATTTGTCCATCGCGCGCCCTTCGACTTGGCCAGAAAATGAATTACATAACGAGACTTTACGTGATTATCCCAGTAATATCGTGTGATATCTGTTTGTAGGAGGGAAGATGGTGGTTGTGGGTGGGTGTGAGTGTTAATATAGCATTGCTGATCTACCGCTTCCTATGATTGTGTTGTGAGTCAGCAAATATAACCAAGAATGCTGTTTGGTTTGCAGTGAGAAGTCATACTTCATCCATACTCATACAATCTGGAGCACTCCATGAAGGAACGCCACGAAGGCAGGCCAGTGCTCTATAATCCCCCTGGTGTGAGGATGGGTAAGGTGCGGTGTCACTCGACACATGGCGGTATTCTCATCACTCAGAATGCTTGGTTTACGGATCAACCTGTTTAATGAATTGAATTGGGTCAGCTTGCTTGCTCTGCCATTCGACAGGATTCATCTCGAAGACAATCCCTCCCTCCTGACTACTCGCACTGTTCGGGTTTCTATTCGTACACCCTGTGGTGCAGATGGGGAGAGAGCTAGAGAGAGAGAGAGAGAGAGAGAGAGAGAGCTAGAAAGAGAGAGAAAGAGATCGAGAGAGAGAGAGAGAGAGAGAGAGAGAGAGAGAGAGAGAGATAGAGAGGGGGTTGAGAGAGTGAGGTATAGAAGGGGGAAAGGAAAAGGGAGGTAGAGAGATTGAGAGGGAGAAAAAAGGGAAAAGAGAAAGGGAGGGACGGAGAGAAAAAGAAGGTAGAAAAAGAGATGAGGATCGAGGATGTAGAGAAAGAGAGAGACGCAGAGACAGAGGAGTGAAGGGGGACTGGATGGAGGGACGGGGATACAGAAGGTGGAGAGCATGTAAGAGAGCAAGAGTAAGAAAAAATGAGAGAGAGAGGAGGGGAATGAGGTATAAAAAGAACGAGAGGAGAAGGGAGGTAGAGAGACGAGGAGGATGGAGAAAAGAAAGACAGACAGAGAGAGAGAGAGACGCAGAGACAGAGGAGTGAATGGGGATTGGATGGAGGGACGGGAATACAGAAGGTAGAGAGCATCTAAGAGACAAAGAGTAAGAGAAAAGGAGAGAGGGAGAGATGGAGAGTGGACCCTTGCTTGCAATCACTGCAGGCCCAAAATTACAGCGACGCTGACACATATATTGTTTACCTGTCAGAGAAGGTTGAGCTCCACTGAGAAAAAGTTCTTCAAGGATCAAATCAAGGGGGGCTTAATAAGGGTGCTATAAGGGGAACACTCCAAATAAAAAGGGGAGTACACGGGTGTACTTTACATGTACAGTAGAGATGAGAATCTCTTCTTGTAGTCAACAAGTTGCCTTTCTTTTGGAAAGGAAGGATTTAGTTTTAGTACTTAATAAATATCGATTCACACAAATAACTTGAACTTTTAGTAGTTCAAAATAAACTAAATTTGTATCATCATGATATAATGTGTTGAGAGGGTGAGCCTGTGAGAGAAATGATGATATTTTTTTAAAGTTTCATCTAGTAGCCGGATTTAATTCACATGATGATGGATTAACTGGACTTGGCGAATTCAAGGGTTTAGATAATAAGATAAAGGCTATATGACAAATCAATATACACTTTACTTGATTACTTAAAAGACAATTCTGAAAAATTACCATTACCCTTCTTGGGACAGCTGTTATTATTGTAGTTTTAGAAATGAAATATTCAAGAAGCCATCACATTGGGATATCTGAAGAGAACCTTATATTATTATGTAGTGATTCGTGTTTTAACATCCCGCATTGGGAAATTATGCTACAAGGTAAAATCAAAGGTGTAAGTTGCACCAAGGACTTAAATGTCGACGATTTCTATGAAATTAAGGTTCCTTATAGAATTAAAGTATAAATGTGAAATAGAGAACCACAGAAAAGAGCATTGGGTAATGCATGATTGTTGTCAGGGTACTAATTAGATTGCAAGAAATGGACCTTCTTTGTGGTATATATGATTGATCGAAAGTTACATTTTCATAAATACATTGAAAGGAAAAACATCCTTGATTTGAGAGGATCAAGGAAGATGGAGGGAGTGAGGGGAGAGAGAGAGAGAGAGAGAGAGAGAGAGAGAGAGAGAGAGAGAGAGAGAGAGACGGGAAAGGGATATCACCACACATAAGAAAGAGACGGAGCTTTCTCAGCTGTTGCACCATGTTTATGGAATCCATTACCATCTCATATACGTCCTTAGAAGCTTTTGATTATTTTAAGTTTATCCTGAAGACAGTCATGCTTTCGAAAGCATACAGTACGTGAATGTAATTATACATATATTTTGTACTATCGTGTAGTTTTTGTTGTTTTTGTTTTAAACTTCTTCCTAACTTTCTTAATTTCATAATGCGCCTCGGAATAGTTTTACTAGATAGACGGCGCAATAAAAGTGCATGATATAATATATAAATATGTATATATGAAACAGAGGAAAGGGTATATAAGAGAGCTCTTGAGTGCTCGAGGAGAAAGTACGGGTGTAAAGAGAGACAGACAGAGAGACAGAGAGAGAGAGAAACAGAGACAGAGACAGAGACAGAGAGAGAGAGAGAGACAGAGAGACAGAGACAGAACGAGATTAGACAACTTATTGTGAAGACAACAAAGTTGTTAATAGAATGGGGGGGGGGGGGGAGGGGGAAGCAGAGGGATGAAAAGGGGACAGGAGGATATGATACGAGACACAAGATGGTGATAGAGGAAAGGGAGGATGGTGATGGGGATAGGGGAGGGAGGATGGTGGTGGTGATAGGGGGAGGGAGGATGGTGTAAGTTCTAGATGAAAGAAGTGTGGGTTGAGAGAAGAGATAGGTGGGGAGGATGGATTTGCTCGGTGACAAGTAAAGTCCAAACAACCTCGTCACCCCATAATTTCTTTAAATAAACAAAAGACCGTAGGTGGAATGAGGGCAGTGTGAGTTTCTTCCATAGGTCACATGACCTTCAATGTGATGACCTTCATCTTGAAGGACACACGCTGAAGACTGATGATTGCATCACTCCATCTTGACTGATAAGAATAAGTGTATTGTTTCATTTACAGGACGACGAACCGAAGGGGTTTAGGGACCGCCAGTTAAACGTTGAGCGTAACCGTGCATACAAATGTAACCCTTCACACAAAAAACAAACAAACCAATCAAAAGCAAAAACAAAACAAAACGAAACATAACGAAAAGAGAAAACAAATGATGATTGAAAATTTTGGGTACTTTTAGCGTTTAGGTCAGATTGAGTACCCCGAACGTTTTATTTGCAAATATGAACTTATTATTGCCGCTGATCATTTTGTTTGAACTTTTCTTTGAGCTAGCTACCAGTATGAATAAAGTGGCCTCGCCATTGCAATTACATGTAAGTATGTATATGTATATCATTTATTCAGGGCATCCGAGTAAAAAAAGATATATTATATATCTAGTTTATAAATCATCCTTTTGCATACATGTATGGATGCAATTTGTGTTGCTACATGCCAGGGGCGGCGATTTATGTTCATGACCGGGGGGGGGGGGCGAAATGCGAGGGACGAGGTAGCATAGTGAACGAGAGGGACGAAAGTGACGGAAGTAACTTTCCCCTTCCAGGTTTTTGAAGTTTTGTTGTATTACAAAAATACATTCCATATCAAAACTATTGTACACAAACAAGCAATATACTTTTTTCACACTTCACTTCTACTTTACTGGAAATAAGTGTGCAGTCCGAAGGGTTGTAAATATTTAGTAGGTATATCTTTCAGTAAGTTTTTCTACAACATTAACGTGTACGTTTTGAAGAAAAAAAACATAATGCGATGGAGCGTAGCGACAGAGCGAGAAGATTGTTGCATTTGTATTAGTCTAATAACTGCACTATTGGGCCCTCCAGAGCCTAAAAGTGTGTTGCAGTCTTTAGTCAGTATTTGTTATACATTTTTTCTCGCATTTTTTCAAATTTTCAGGGGGGACGTGTCCCCCACGGTCCCCCGGGATCGCCGCCCCTGCTACATGCTGTAAGTCGTGTTGAAACATCATTTTCATGACTAAGGGATAAATATTAGCTCCATACCTCGTTTGAGCCTTAATTATGAAAACAAGATTGATATACTGCTGTATCTTCTGTATACCATCAACTAATTAGATATCAGATTTTCTTCCGAGTATGAGTCATAAAGTATGCATTTGGTATTAAAGATATATGATTGCCTTTCAATTTTCCAATTAACGTGATCAAGAAACTTCGATAAAAAGCAACTGTGTCAGGTGAATTTCCATCTAGGGCATTTTAAATTGACAGATTAAGATATTTTTGATGGATCATCTAAGTGGATGGATAAAAGTAATCCTGAACTTTAAATGGGAAACCGCACTTCTCTAAATTCCAGTCTAATCGCCATTTTGAACTGGTTATCCTGCGGTG